GTCCCAGCATCGCATGTCCAAGCGTGTCTCGATAAAGTCGCCGGGGCTGGAAGCGCCCGTGGCCCAAACACAAAGCTGCGATAGTGCTCTGTGCTCGCGACGTGGGGCTTGTCGTACCAAAAGTAGAGTGGCGCGACGCGGATGCCGCCAAGATTTACCGCCACGGGCGGTGGCAAGCCAGGCCGGCTTTTTTTCTTGAGGGTCTTGCGCGAGTGGAAGCCAACGTACTTGAGCGTCTCGGGTCGTCGGGTCATCGCAACACACACTGCCTGCAGGTCGAGCGCATGCTACGCAAAGCTGACTGTTAAAATTCGAGATCCGCGGTCGGCGAGCGCACGAGGAAGGTCCAGTCGTGCTGGTGGATGAGCACGAATGGTGTCGTGACACTAGAAGTGAATGAGGATGCAAATGTGCGCGGACAATAGAACGTACTGCTTGAGTGCTTCCCGCACGGCCAACGCAAAGCCCATGCGCTTGGACATGATGATCGACGTCAAGCTTGCGCCTGTCAAGGGGTCCATCTCTCGGTGGATCGTGGCTCGCGCTGTTGTACGCCGTTTGATTGGAAACTCCACGTCGTAGCTCTCGACGACGGCCGCGTCCGTGAGCTGCAGGTGGCGGCGAAAGACTGCGCGTGCGTTGTGTTGGTAGTCGACATACTTTTCAATCTCTTCAGCGCTAATGCGCGTTGACTTGAACTTGGTTTTGACGTCGTCGCCGTCCTTGGCGACATAGCCGTCAAAGGTCAAAACGACGTCGCAGGCGGCGAGACCGGGTACGAAGGCAAAGCTGCTGAGGACCTCTTCGAGGACGACTGTCGCTGGGTTCGACGGGATCGCTGATGTCGTAAACACCACCGTGAGGAGCTCGCGCAGCGGCGCCGTGGCGACGACGTCGGCCATCGATGGTGTTGGCTTTTCCTGCCAATATCAGCGGATTTGATTCGCTAATATCCTCCAATCATACGTGTGTATTCTATTCTTAAATACTGTTATAAATCTCGATCCCCTACCATAAATCGGCGTGCGTCGACAGCAAGCCTACAAGAAGACCAAGCCGATTTTCTCCTGTAGAGTGATCCAATTTCGAATCTCATTGGGACTTGCTGATGTTGCTGCATGATGCAAGGTCGTTGGCGTGGACCTCACACTAATTTATGTTGTAACGTGGTGCAGCGAATCAAATCGCCACCCACTGGGGATGTAGCCAATCACAATTTGCTTGACGGTGTATTTTAACCAATCCCTGTGATCTTTCGTGGAATTAAAACACTTTGCGATTTGTAGCGTTGGCCGCGCGTCCTGATTTGATAAAAATCCGTGTTTCGCAATCCGAGCATTCGCGAGGATGACGACGAGCAGCCAGAAGATCCCGGCGCTCGACAAGTACAACGCATGGGTCCTCGAGAATGAGTCGCTGGCGCGCCGCCTTGAGAACGTCTTCTACGTCGTGCCCATGCTCGTGCCCGCGCGCGTCGGCAACCCGGACATCGTCTCGGAGGTCGGCTACTCGATGGGCGGCCTCCTCAAGCTGTACCACGACTACCTCTTGTACCGAGCGGTGCACCCGGAAGAGACGCCGCGCACGCTGGTGCAGGCGGCGCGTGTGCCATTGTCGCTTCTCGCCCAGGTGCAAGTGGCGGCCGAGATCATTGCGCTCAAGACCGGCGGGTCGGATGCGCGGTGGCGTGTCGTACGTAGCACTTTGCATTGGTTCCGCGAGCTCACGCTGCGTGCAGATCGTCGCCCTCGAGATCTGCAAGTGCATTTGCAAGCTCGCTCTTCTCGGCCATGCTAAAGGCCAAGTGCTCTACAAGAATGGCACGGTGCGCCATCCCACTCATGCTAGTACACGAGGACTCATGGCGCTATGCGTGTAGTACATCACGTGCGAGGTGCCAGCCACCGAAAGCAAGAAAGACGCGACCGAGTACACGGGCCAGCGCTCCGGTCGCGTCTTCAAGAGCCACCGCGAAGGTATCAGCGACTTGCGACCTTGCATTAACCGCGTGCGTCTGTGGTAGCTGGTCAGTCGTCGCAGGAGCCGCTCACGCTCTCCTTTGTGGTAACCCTCTCTCTTTGCCTAAATCCGATCTCAGGGCAAATAGGACGCGACCGTGGCATCCGGTCATGAAGGCCCGCTGCAACTCACGGGCGAGATCTTGCATATTCTGCGACCGGTGGTCTACGCAGTGCTTTGGTACATCGTCCCATCATCCTCTTCGTTCTGTGTTGACGCAGCGCTGTCTAGTCAACGCAAGTCGGAGCAGTCGTGGGTCCCCTTCCTCGCCTCTTTCTCGACCGAAGTCCTTGGGTATCCCATTCTTTCTCTTCTCATGGCAACTTACAGGTGTGCATCCTAGCCTTCTGTGCTCGTCGGCCGAGGCGCCGACAAAGGCCACGCCGGCCGTCACGGAAGAGTTCCGCCGACGCAAGGTACACGTCGCCGCGTCCTTTCCGTGTGTCCTCATGCTCGGTGCAGATGTGTCTCTTTTTGTATTTGCTCCGGAACCCGCTCTTCTCGAGCGTCACCAACCCCCTCGCCGACAGCGTACGCTTCGACTGTGATGCCATGGTCCGATCAATCAACTGCGTGGGATTAGGTGGCCAACGCTACGCAGCCCGTGCCCGTCCTTGGCCGCCTCATCCAGTTTGCCATCGACAACGGCTTGCTCTACTACCAGCGCCGTCACTTCTACACGTCGGCCTCGTAAAGATGGAGCTGCTGCTTGGCGCGCCGATGCGTTAAGCAGCGGAATAGCGAATCACGCTCACATGTCTAAACACACGCAACCTGCTGTTGGTTTCTTGTGCTTGATGCGCCAACTC